AGCTGACTATCTGTGAAGTCGAAGATGAATTTAGAAAGTGTTACACATTTTCACGCCTTGTTTGCTAAATAGTAGGCGTACGAACATAGTTTGTGATTGATGTTTCGGAACAATGGCCTGAAACGGACATGATGTCCCTCGATGCTTGCCCTGCATGCCGCCTGCATGATCCAGCAAAGTAAAACTTGTTTTGCCTGCAAGGAGTGGTTGATGTTGTGCTTTGTGCAACCAGCGGCTTGACAAAATGTTGACAAATGAAAGCTGGCGCTATACAGGTACGGCAGTAGTGCAGCACAGTTTATTTGACTGCGGCCCAGTTAGGTTGCACGGCGTGAGCGCTGTGACATATATTGGGAGTTGCCCGCTGGAGGCGTTTGAAATCCCGTACTAACGTTGAATTTTCAACTGCCTTCAACAATTTAGAGGTTCTGGTTAAAACTATGCGCAAGAGGTGACTTCAATAGTACTATTTGCTGAGGGGCGCAGTCCCGAAGCAAATGGTACTATCGGAGTCGCCGAGGCCCTTAGTTTTAACCAGTTCCTCGAAAAAAGGGCATGGTATATTTGTTTTAAATCCTATATCAACATTTTAAAAAAGCCCCCCCCCCCCTTAAAAAAAATATAAAAAATAAATCAATGAATAAATAAATAAATTTAAAAAAATTACAATTTCTATATATTTTTTAAAATAATAATACAACAAATTACTATTATAAAATTAAGATTCGAAAAAAAAAGAAAAAGAAAAAGCAACTCCCAAATAGTACTTTTTCAGAACAACCTTAAAAGAGAGTTGAAATATTTCCAGTCACGTGACGAGTCCTCAGCCAACCAAAAACCAATATATTTTTGATACAGGATATAATAAATTTTAAGAGCAACAGTCTATTGAGATTAGTTCAGGATCGATATGGACTATTAAAGTAAATACGTAATAAGCTGGCCCTACAAGCTAAGATGAGCATCAACACAACTTCCGAAAGTCCTTAAACTACCCCTCGTTCGTTCCAACAATTTCACTCACACGTCACACTTTCCTCTCACTCCCCATCTCATTCCAGCACCCCTCTTTCCACCCTCATACTCTCTCTCCCACACCCCTTTTTCCGTGTCTAACACAGCCGCCATGCATACTTTGAAAGAGAGGCGAGTTTTAATAGCAAATAAAAAACTAGTTATGAAACAGTTCATGTGGATGGGATAGGACTAAGTGTAATTTTATTGCTGGACATTGAGAACACCACATGGGAAATAAAATATGAATCATGAAACTGATTTGCTTATCAAACCTCTATAATAAGTTCTTTAGTGTAAAAGCAGAAATACGTAGCGTCATAGCATCCCACAAAACTTGTTTTTCCTCAAAAATCACTCATGCATGTCCGTTCAGGAGCCATTTTGTCAATTCTTGGTCCATTTCCATGCCTTTCTTTCAGCCTACCTGTCTCTGCTATCCTAGGTGATAATTATTACTTCTTCCAAATTTGTCTAGATAGTCCTTAAAATAACAATCGAAAAGAAATTGTGCATACTTTCGTAGATTTGTACGTAACTTCTACCCTCTGATTACTTCGAAAAAACACATTTGCAAACTCAATTGTCAAACATTTCCGACATGAACAGATCCTGGAAACGGGACTGCATTATTTCTTATAAGCATTGTTTAAACATGAACCACTATGACATTTTTGTTATTCATTAAGAAATAAATCAAAATTCGGTTTATTATTAATGCAATGATATACCTGTACAGTAATTATTAATGACAATTCGGTAATTAAATTTCTCTTGTTAGCTTCATTACGTATGACATGGCTACCCACTATTATGGTAAAAATAAAAATTTCAATCATTAACACCGATCTAATAATAAGCATCAACCACACAGCAAACAAAACTATTAGACTACAATTTTACATGTTAAGCAAAATATGGTGCTTTGGAAAATAGAACTTTAATTTTCATACTTTCTTAGAAAAAGCTGCTATTTTTATTACAGGTTTTCCGACTAATTTCGATGCTTTTTCAGTCCATTTGATAAAACGTTCATTCAATAGGCCATTTTCGTAATGTCATCAGATTTAATGCATAAGTTTTGGTTAGGTGCCTCATTACGAATTATTGCATTTACCTGTTACAAACAAATGTGTTTCAAGAGCCAGAATTCAAACTTCATACATAAGTCGTTACTAGGTAGGACAAATGTTGACTTGCTGACCTACCTAACAACACAAAATAGGACAATAAATTAGATAGGTAAATTTGCGAAATTGGCCGGAAAACCCATGACATAATTAGCAACCTTTTATACACGTACATATAGCTCCGTTTAGTCTCATTTGAGAACACCCCCTAGCGGCAGAGTCCAGCTGCCTAACAGGTACTTTAGCGTATGGACTTTTACACACACACAAAAAATCGTTAACAATTCTTTTTTTGTTTAAACGAAAGCACATCCACCTCGACGCTTAAATATCTACTTATATAACTATAAAATCTTAAATAAACGCTGTTTGGGAAGAATTATTGCCGACGGGGGGGGTGGAGATAGTGGTATCTTGGTTCGTACATATTCATTTTTTTTGTATACTTGTGTTCTTGTTTTTTTTTTTGTGTTTTTTTTTTATATTTCATATGTTATGATATGTGTTATGTTATAATTGTACATGTAATTTTTATATTGCGCATGGACCTACAGAAGAACAGCCTTTGGCTGAAGGTGGTGCCGTACGAAAATTAATAAACTGAACTGAAAATGAAATGAACGTACGTTATCACTATTTTTATTGTCACGGTAATAAGACTCCACGTTTTATTATTATTATTATCATTATTTATTCGGCAATTCACAAGAAATATAACGATGTGAATATGAGTAAACAAACATTACGAGAATGTCAATTATAAATGCACAATCTTCCTGGAGGTCTATTGAGTGTATCAGTTGGCTGCCGGGGAAGAGGAAAGCAAACTTAATCACTGTAACCTAATGGTTCCTCTTCCCGACCAACTGGTGCACCCAAAAGACCTACAAAATATAGCATGAAGGTAATAGAATGTATTGCATTTCATTAAAAACAGCTAACAAAGACAAGGCACAAGGAGGAAATCAATTGTTTTATTTATTTTTTGTTTTTTGATGACACTAGGTCATGACACGATACTAAACATAAACATGAGGAATTAATTCTGACTTAAAAACTATTGCATGAAATGTCAAGTAGGTAAACTGAAACCATGTAGTATAAAACTGAGAAAAGAACAAAATATGAGAACATGTAGTAGCGCAATGACAAGAATGTCTAAAATCATACAGGTTGACCGGTATATAGAAGTTTAAAAAACATGGTATAGGAAGTAAATATAAACATAGGCTTAGTAGGCTTCAGGCGAATAATTAAAGACACTAGGAGAACGAATGCATTAAAGAAAAAATACTTCATATTTTATATTATAGTATACAAACAATTTATAAAGAAACTCCGTTGAAAATATCCAGAAGATGTTTAAAGACTGGAGAAAAAAAAGACTCCAGAGACAAAACAATGATTAAATCAAAATTATAGTTTCGGCTCAGAAATGTTATAGAGAAGTAGACAAATAAATAATTACAAAACATCCCGTAATTATTACATTAACCTTTCGTAAATTGAATTAAACAACAAGTTCAAAAGAAAAAGTTAATCAAAGAACTCAAACTGAATAAAAACGCTAAATAATTAAACCTCCAATCAAAATCATGAAAAGATTACCGTACAAACAACTACTGCATAACACTAATTGCAACAAATATGTTGTTCTTTATGATACAATGTCTTTATTCGCTTTCTAAAGACTTTGGAAATATTGTCACAAGTAAGCATCATCACCGCATAGTGAATTTAATTAAACAAATCCTTTAAGGTAGGCCTACCAACTTATATAGTAAATCCGGGTGTTGCGTGACAAATGTAGATCAACGTCTTTAAAGAGGACATCATAGCTTGGTAGGAGCTCGTACCCGCAACCTTCATATGCTCAATCACGTATTTGAGGTACTCATTTAGGGCACCTCTTATAAGGACGTGGTGTTACTGCTTAGGCCTTAGGTTGAGTGACTAGAGACACCGGCTTGGTTTTGTGTTGGACCTACTGGAGCTGGAGCGACTCGGATCAACCTCATGCCAGGCTTAGCTGCACTTCCCTGACAAAACAAGATGGTAGATAACAAAACAAAAATGGTAGAAAACAAAACAAAATTGTAGATAACAAAACAAAATGGTAGAAAACATAAATAAAATAAAAAAAGAAATATCTCCCCCCCCCCTCCCCCGCCAAAAAAAAGAAGAAGAAGAAGAAGAGAGGTAGAAAGTAACCATATATGATTGCAATAAAAATAAAAATGCATATTATTAGATCCTGAATACTAAAACAATAATAATGCTATAAAAGAACACGACACCTCTACACACGTTTGTTTGTGCATATAACAATTTTACATTTGAATGTAGCCAACATATTTTTTCATATGAATCAACCATACAATGCCAATTTTCACACATTCAATTTGGGGAGCAGCATTTCACTCGACAAACGCCTTTGTTAAACAAAACGTCGTTATTAATTCGCCCCAACAAACTCATGAGAGAAGTGGCATACGACAATGTGGCCGTGTCATTTCAGTTAACATTGTACAAACAAAGATTCTCATACCAGCACAATAATAATTCACGCGAAAGATAACATTTCGAGGCTCATGAAAAACATAAATCAGACTAAAATTTTCCCAGTATTATTTCCCTCTTGCTAGCATCATCACGTATAACAGACGCCCCCCCCCCCAGAAAAAACTAAATGCAAATTATGTTCGATGCGCGATTTGTTAGAATCAGAATCGAGCGGTTACACACATGCGCGTACAAAAACACTTGGCAGATATATGCTATTATTGCAATAGAAAGAAAAAATATAATTATTGCATAATTAGATAAAGTGTAAAATTAAACTTCATTTACTTCAGTTGTTGAAACTGTACTGGGATTGGTGATCGAAGCCCTGCTTTCACGAGATTTGCGAACATGCTCTCTGATGGCGTTTCGAACCTGTTGTAATAATACAAAATCACAATAATAGAGACTCTCTGTTTGATTTCATGTTAAAGCCTAAATCGGAAGCGCCATATCGTGTGCACTGTCTGTCTTGCCTGTTTCGAGGAGTTGCACATATTTACTGTAGACTATCGGACACTTGCAGTTTTGAAGAATTTCTTTCTTTAAATAGGCGGTTGGGAGATCAATATTCGAATATTATTTTTTATATAGCCTACTTATAATACAAAATCCACGATGAAATTAACTTGCCTTTATACACTAAACACGAATTACAAGCAGCATATTGTGGGGCGTAAGGTTTACACTTTTGCCTGTTGCATCATAGCTATCCTTTCTCTACGATACGGCCCATCTTTACTTCTTTACAGAGCAAATTCCCCGAAATAAAATTGTCTTGAATGTCTGATGCCAGCTATGATTTCATTACATACCTCCGAATTGAGAAAGCAATAGAGCCATGCGACGAAGAACCCCTGCAAGGATACAATAGAAATTATCTACGTTAGTACGATACATGCACAACCCTCAACTTAGATATGAACGTCTCGTAGTAGTAAAACAAAATTGAAAAATACAAGTAAAAATGGTGAAGACACATATGCCCGTGCATGGTTAAAATCATATTTGAGTACTGATAAGACCATTACATTAAGAAGGCAGAAATTATCTAGGACATAATGTGCGTTGATTGCCTGTGAGGTTTTTGAAAATAACAAACGAAGAATTCTTGTCAGATGGAAAATCATTGCACACAAACATGGTACGGCACTACAGAAATTAGTAGGATCAAACTTTGGTCCAAAGATATGATATATTTAGTTATTTGAAATTTGATGTTTTTTCAAGAGAAATGACGTAAAATTATCAATATGATATTTTCCCTTATTATGAAAGAGTATGTTAAATATTTCAAATTATATTTGTTCACTTCTACAGAGTCTTAACCTTCTCTTTAAAGAAAGGTAGGATTATCTTCGTTTCATCGGCTCACTCTCTCTCTCTCTCTTTTATTTTTCATTTTGTTTACAATGGAAATCAAAATCATCATAACACTGACATCATAATGTTGGATTGCAACGTCAAGTTAGCACTGATATTAGAAGATTACCTGAAGAGAATTGAGCAGGTTGAAGGTGTATTCCAAAGCCTTGACGTGAGGGAAAAATGCCACTACAGGTGTCAATAGCCAAGCGATACCAAGCAGGGGGAGAGCAACAAAGTGCTCCGAAGTCCAGCTCTGCAAAGCAGTGACAACGAGAATTAACACAGTGATTTTTTACAAACATATACAAAAACATTGGAACCCACATACACAACTATCCAAACCCAAACATACACACACATACCCAAACCCACACACACCTATCCAAAACCACACACACAAACACACGCGCGCACACGCACACACACACATACACACACACACACAAAACAAACGCGCACATACATACATACACACACGAACACGCACACACCCTTCCAAACCACACAAATCTACATACACACTCACATACATTCCTCAACCACTAATTAGTCGATAGCCAATGTATATCAAGCAATACGAGGAGAAACGGAGGGCTCCAAAGATCAGCTCTTAATAAATACAAAATGATTTGACAAAATTTACATGAAGAAGGAATTTGGAACTGAATATAGAGGCGTAAACCTGCGTTCATAATAATTCATAAGTAAGTATACATAATGTACATGATTTACTCCGGAAAAAAAAAACTTTCTGAACATTTACGTAATCGAGACAAAGGGTAAAGCAAGAACATATCGTAAATGAAAACATTTCTTAAAATGTAATTAGTTTATTACTTGATTTGCTTGATCTTATCGTTGTCAAGTTGACCTCGAGATGCAGACACAACTGTCTTTACAACCAGTAGGAGAATAACTACGTTGACCTAGAAGTGGAAATAAATTATACATTTTAAATAATTTTCCTGCTAATGATAAAATTATAATAAATATATATATATGTATTATTGCAGACACAAGGCAAGCTTCTAACGTTGAATTTTTAGTATTAAGGACTGTTAACTTGTTTTTATTTTGCCGACGATCATGATTAGGATAAAATTGTATTCAGATATCACGATGCGACGATATAAAAGACGTAGGCCTCAAAATTCAAAACATGCATAAAATATAAAAATGAACGAGATTTATATTTCGATTAAACATATGCCTTTTTTCGTTTGAAAAATCTCCTTTACTCACTAAGCAATAAGTGTTGCAATCAAACAGAGATAACGAACATTTTGCTACATTGAAGTCACTCATTGGTCGTGTAAACAAAATTAAAATCAATTTCTGTTTTTTTTTTTTTTTTGTGTCAGGTGACTTTTCCTTTGGGGCACTAGTCAAAATATATCATGGGTTACATACTCTTTATCATACACTAATGAAATAAATTGACACTTTAGAAACTTTTCGTATTGAAAAAATAGAGGAAAATTATCCGCCACTACACCACAGTGACATGACTGCTTTGGCCATTTTAAACTTCCAATGCGTCTAGCGATAACAACTTTAAAATATCAAGACTTTCTTCTTTTTCGTTCGATTTCTTACAAACTTTTACCGGTCTGGATCTCTGATATGTTTCCATTACTTTATACTAGTTGTATTTTAAGGTTGGATATTTTATTTAAAATCTATAGTGAAGAACGTGGTGCCAAACAACAAGATAATGTGGAAAACATTATTCTAATCTTGTCTTATCGGTATTTTGGAGGAAATTACCCAAATCATCTTTAAAGGTTAATCATGATACTAATATCTAGGCTTTTCAAGCTTCCGTACGACCCAAAATAAAAAATAAAGAATAAAAACACCGCATACTACCCCCCCCCCCCCCCCAAAAAAAAAACGCACACTTTACGAGTTTCTTACGAGTACGATTGCAATAACCGGGCCAGTGAATGCCCAGATTGTCCCATCTGTTGGATTCAGCCAGCAACTGTATTTTAAATTGGAAGATAAAGATAAAAACTTTTACTTCAATTATGCAAAGTTTAAATTGATTGCATTCATTTTGGGTACCTTTGTAAATATTTGTCACTTGAACTATAATATTACAAGGCAACTGATTTCCGTGGACTAATATATATATATATATATATATATATATATTGATAATAATAGTTTTTTCAATAAATTATACTCACCTTCGTTCATAGCCATAGCTTTGATGCTTTACGCCTCCAGTTATGATGAGTATCACGGCTGGACCACCTTCAAAAGAAGGAAATAGTATGGTATATTGCAAATGGCGGATGTGATAGTTTGATTATATACATGTAGGTTAAATTAAAGCCAAACTATATTACTTTAACAACCAAATCACTTTAAAGATTCATTATTAGCTTAGTTTTAAGTAGCAGTGGGTATTGATTTGCCTCTAGCAGCGTTGTCTAGTAAAACCGTCTTTCATTTGAACTTACCCCACCGTAAAATGCCATAAAACAGATTCGAATATCTGAATTGTACAGTGCGTCCCAGAAGAAATGAAACCGAGAGTTATCAATGTTTTATCATAAAGTATAGACAATTATATTTAATAAATGACACATATTTGTAAAGCTTAGACCTTCCTCTTTCTTTTGATGCAACTCATATGATACATATTTCACGCATGAGGGATTAAAACAATTTAAAGACAGAGAGTACCAAAAGGTCGTTTGGCGGGCGGTATCTGAATTCCAAAGAGAAAATCATTTTCTAGAAAGTTCATTTTCTGTTTTTTAAAATGACACCTCGATCGGAAGAAGTTATGCTACGTTTACACTATGTTCCCGGCGGCCACGACAGCCCCGTTTGCCCGAAGCGTAGTGCGCCGTGGGATTTAGACCAATTTTATCTCTGGATTCAAGTTTTGTTAAGGCCCGGTTACTCAGAGGAGACGCATGGAGAACGCACGGCCAGTGCATTAGAAATTTGCAACTTTGGCCAGTGCGTTGTCGTGCGCCCAACTTTTCTCGAAGCTACAACGAGCTTGACACCAAATGCATAGCGTGTTGATAGCGCCCTGAGCGCATACAGGGCGCATACGGACCGTACAGACAGCGCACAGGATAATGACTTCCACGAATACACAGTGTGTTGCTAGCGCGCTGGACGAATGGTCCACGCATGCACCGCGTTCTCAACAGAGGTGGTCACACATAGACGACGCACGGCCGGCGCATTGGAAATCGGAAAAAGGCCGCGTGCCTTAAGGCCCGGTCACACAGGGAGGACGCATGGGGAACGCACGGCCAGCGCATTGGAAATTTGCAATTTTGGCCAGTGCGTTGTCGTGCGCCCAACTTTTGTCGAAGCTACAGCGAGCTGACACCAAATGCATAGCGTGTTGCTAGCGCGCTGAGCGCATACAGGGCGCATACAGTGCGCATACAGACCGTACGCAGAGCGCACATGATGTTAACTTCCACGAATGCATAGCGTGTTGCTAGCGCGCTGGACGAATGGTCCACGCATGCACCGCGTTCTACGACGCACGGCCAGCGCATTGGAAATCGGAAAAGAACGTGTGCCTAACTTTTGTCATAATTTTGGAAAAGCTAGCGAGCTGACACAAAATGCACGGCGTGTAGCTAGCGCGCTGTGCGTATACAGGGCGTGTGCTCCGCGTATGTCTGGCGCTGGTCTAGCGCGCTCCACGCATGTCTGGCGTGCCTTTGGCGTGTATATTCATGTGTCGAGCTCGGCGCACGTTTTTGAGCATGCTCAAAAAATCCCGAAGCACACAGCGAATGACGACGCATGCATAGCGCTGGTCCAGCGTTGGTCCAGCGCGCTCGACGAAAGAGTAACGAATGATGACGCACGCCTAGCGAACGACAACGCACTGGCCCAAATTGCAAATTTCCAATGCGCTGGCCGTGCGTTCCCCACGCGTCCCCTCTGTGTGATCGGGCCTTTGGCCAGTGCGTTGTCGTGCGCCCAACTTTTGTCGAAGCTACTGCGAACTGACACCAAATGCATAGCGTGTTGCTAGCGCGCTGAGCGGAAACAGGGCGCATACAGTGCGCATACATACCGTACACAGAGCGCACATGATAACAACTTCCACGAATGCACACCTTGTTGCTAGCGCGCTGGACGAATGGTCCACGCATGCACTACGTTCTCAACAGAGGTGGTCACACATAGGCGACGCACGGCCCGCGCATTGGAAATCGAAAAAGGCCGTGTGCCTAACTTTTGTCATGATTTTGGAAAAGCTAGCCAGCTGACACAAAATGCACAGCGTGTAGCTAGCGCGCTGTGCGTATACAGGGCGTGTGCTCCACGTATGTCTGGCGCTGGTCTAGCGCGCTCCACGCATGTCTGGCGTGCCTTTGGCGTGTACAAATCCCGACGCACACAGCGAATGACGACGAATGCATAGCATGGGTCCACGCGCTCGACGAACGAGTAACGAATGATGACGCACGCCTAGCGAACGACAACGCACTGGCCCAAATTGCAAATTTCCAATGCGCTGGCCGTGCGTCAGCCAAGTTTTCTCACGGTCTACCACGGTATCCGTGAAGGGCCGTGGGGGGGGGGGGGGGAGGGGATGCTGAGTCCCGGAGGCTCCAATGCGCACTACGGTTCGGCCCGCGTTCTACAACGGATGCCAGACCGTTCCCTCCCGGCTCGTCACGTTCTGATGGGGTCCCTACGTTTCTCACTTTCTGATCAAGTTCTGACACCTTTTTCACGTTCTGTCAAGGCTTTCTACGGATGAAACGTGGACGCCGGGCAGCTTTGGAGCACGATTGTGCCCACGGTATAAAAAGAAGCACTACTGGTGGTGGTGGTGGTGCAGGACGGAGGGCCTTCGAACGTCTTGGCTTCTTTGGTGGCATAGCTTGACCTTGTTTCTTCGTTTTGTAGACGCAGTAATGTGTCGTCGATTGCTCAGGCTTGAATGGAGCTCCTGCCGCGCTAGTATTGTATATACTGCCTCCCGACCGCGTGCGCCGTGTCAGATCGAACGCAACGCGCCACGCCCGTAAACCGTCAGACGCCGGGTTGCGCAGTGATTAAACGCGATAAAAAGGCTACCCTACACACTGGCCTGCCGTGAGAATCCTGGAAAACCGTGGCAAACCGTGGCAAAACGTGGCAAAACGGGACGAAATGCGCAGCAACTATGAAGGAACT